CTGTTCTATCTCGTGGTTACCGGCCTCATGATTATCGTGGGAAGCCAGTTCTGGTACGCCATAAATAAACATGATGCTTAGATAAGCCAGCTTGCTATGTCCAGCTGTGATGTTTATTTTCGATTCTCGCGTGCTCCAAGGGACAATTAGGATAGATGCGTACCTTACAAAGCCCGCGTTGGAGCGCACTTGCAGAGAGTAAAATATTTTCGACATCGGTAGCCGATTCCAGGGTTTCCCTAATAAGGTTAGGTTCGCCATAATGTGCAGAGTTCGGGTGACGAGGAAGTTTCACTAGTTTTGTGGGTTTGGCTGTTATGTTCATTAAAATGCACAGTTAGTTTCACTGGTACTGGTCGTCAGACAACTTACCCGCAATGTGATGGCGGTATATTCGGGGACATAGATGCACATGACAGTCAGGGAGTTATCGTTGGAGCCCTTTTTGTTGAACGGCAAGGTCGGGTGATCGTTGGGACTTTGGCTTTACGCCAAGTGACCATGTTCCACTGTTTGTTGCTCTGTTGACGTTAGCGGTGTTTACAACAGAGAAGACACTAAAAGTAGAATCCCGATGGACTTTTGCAGTGATCTCTACATATGCGACTGGAGTGTCAGCGGATATGTACTCGACTGGAGACCCTTGGGTTGCAGATGCAGTAGACTCGGGTCCAGCTATCCCATCATTGTTACTGATACAAGTTGTCAAGACCGGCCGAGTTTGCTCGATCACTCGTTTCGAGTGGTGCCTGATTTTCGGCGTCCTGAGTACCGCTTGTCTATCTGAGCTACGGTTTGTTTTCGCCTGGCGCTCTTCCACATTTGAAGGGGACCTTGTCAATCGTGATTCGAGAGAAGCAAATTGTTCACCAATGCTTTTCTTTGAAGGCACTGTGATATCATGGTGCATGCTCGCTTCCAGTGATATAAGCTTAGTGTTCGTTCGTTGTTCAACTTCTTCTGTTAACCGCTCACACTTTTATACTATGAGAAGTATACATTTGACCAGTGGGATGGTCGAACACACAGTACAAAACCAGATATCTTCTTGGGCTCCGTTTCGAGCTCTCGCATATTGTTGGGAAAGCGTTGCACATTTGGATGGTACCATCTGAAACAGTGTGTGTGAAGGTACACCGCATTTGACTAATGGGTTACACACAGTGGAAGCACATTTACCCATCGACTGGAGTCCTTTTGGATTCGCATCTACTTGCTTTCTGCTACTTAGCATAGTGTTGCTACCTTACACAGTAGGCTAGTTAATGTTTCGTACTCTTCCGACTGGCCGGTTGCGTACCCTAGTCAAACTGGTGGATGCGGCCACTTTGTTGCTTGGTCACACACTGCCCTGTGAGGGGAGAGAGAACGCAATAAACCCAACCTGCCCTGATTTGAAACCGAGGCACACTGGTTTCAGTTCACACACCGGCCCAACCGCCGCACTGTCAGGTGAGTGCGGTTGTGAGTTTTGATCCTATTTACTGGCCGGAGCGCTGTTTGCGATGGGTCGCGGTTGAGACGACTGCAGGATAGGTCAATCACCGTCAACCGATAAAACTGGTCAGCCGATGCGGACGGTTAGTTGAGAAATCTCCAAAACCGGTTAGACGATTTAGGTGATAAGCAGATGGAATAATTCCTACGCTTGGCGATCCACTGGTAATTCCGTATCGAATGAGCGGAACTTGGACAGTGTGATGAGAACTGTAGCGAAGACCACACTAGAAGGTGGGTCAGAGGATAATTGAAAAAGATTTGCCCAGTTTTCACAAAAACGGATAGAGGTCATTCCAACGTTTTTCGATGACGGAAAGAGTGGACAATAAGGAATTGAGTGGTATATAATAACCCGAAGTCCGCTAAGATTGCACGTAGATAACGTACAAATTGTACAGCATGTCGGAGGTTCGGTTTTGTGTCTACTTGACCGTGACCTTGAGGCAAAGGTAAAACGTACGTTTGGAATAAATAAATGGCAATATCAAACGGGTGGTAATTCCGCGCTGTTTTTTGCCGAGCATGCATTTTGGGTCGCTAGGTCAGTATCTTAAGACAGATGTGCATATCGGCTGAGTGGGGTTTTCGTTCATCTGGCTTGTTCGCAAACGCATTCTGGTCTTGGGCAACCTTACGTAGCAGTCAGTTGCTGCCGTACTTTACAATCCTGACGTTTTCGCACACGTTAGAAACAAGCATACGGGTTTAGGTGAGAGAAGCGACAACTTGGCATGAGGGTTGATCGTTGTCGGTTATGTGGGCCACGGATGGCGAGTGCGACTTGCGCTTTGGAACTAGAACCGACAGTGGACTGGGAAAAAGCTGCAATCACCGCACAGCATGACCGTTATTGATGATGCAGATCTTGGTGGATATCCCTGTGAGTACCAGTTGGCAAGCGTGTAACTGGCTTGGAATATACCATCATAATAAGACGCTTGTGCACACAAATTTAAGCTATGGCTCCACGGAAGGTGGCAATGAGTGTCGGGTGGCGGTAGCCCTGGTGTATCAGAGTGCGCTGAGAGCAACTCCGTTAATGTGCGCTACTTTGGTGCCGAAAAACTCCACGAGACGAAAACTCACTAAAATCGTGCGGTCAGTTCACGGTAGGACGTTACTTGTGACTAACATGCATAACGCAGGCAGCTAATGGAAGATTGTGGAGTATTAACACTGGCAAAGGTGAATTGGTGGTCGCCAACCAAAATTACCGTTCGTACCGAAAGTGGAGATGCTTCATTTTTCCAACCTTTTTATTACGGCAGCATATGTCAATTTTCAGTCATTCTAACTTGTTTGAGCTAAAGTTTCATACGCCAAACGAAGTTCAACCATGAACAATACGCGCCACTTGACTTTGGTTACCAAGCGGAGGTCCGATTCGAGATGACAATTTATCGCATCTGAAAGCAATTTGTGAGTAACAACATGGTTTAAATGCGTGATTCGCACAAAAATTCTCTTTATTTCCCTAGCAATATTAAGAAGACCATTAGATTGCTGTACAGTGACGGGCCAATAAGCATGAACCTCTGACCATTGCAGCCTTCGCTTGTCCCAACAGCTGGAATACATGTATATATAACAGTAGCACGAAATTCCAATACTAAATATCGCACGAAGATGAACACCTGCGATGCATTATTAACGGAGATTACAGCAATTATCTTTGTGGGATGAACATGCGGAACAGTGGTTAAATGTCTAACTCATGAAGCGGAGTCATGGATGCCCAATTTTGACCGACGGACATCTAAAACACTCCAGACGACTATCAGTACTGTTCTTGTAACATTAAGCTATTACATCCACGGTAGTCTCTGTGGCGTATACTACAGCATTTGGCATTCATTCACGTGTCGGGTATAAAAATAGGGGTCGTCAATTATTTGAATGCTGCTCTGCAAATACTTCTTGTTGCTTATCTATGACCACTACTCACCTGAAATGCCGCACACTTAGATCATATTAGTTAACAAATCGATTGATATAGCTATTCAAATTGTTTACTTGAAATAGCCCTATCGGGTAGGAGGAACTTTAGAGTCTCAGGAAGTACAAATTTCGCACGATGCATCGTCCCATGTGGTTCGACAAGAACAGAACTCTTTTGTGTTGTTCCTAAGAATAGTTTCTTTATCTTATCAAAAAGGACCTGAAATTTCCGTCCTATCCTTAACCGTTCAGCTAAACACAGCGATTCAAAGGATCAAACTGACGCTGGGAGGGTTATTTTTGTGCAGCTGTAATACTATCAGGATTTTGCTAGCATTAAGTGTGGCCTGAGTTCACAAAACAGACCAGTGATCAAGTTAACATGACTGGTCTGTAAATAAACTAGCGTTCTGTGTAGGTCATACCTAGCTACAGTAGAAACTTTGATGCTGGGTGCTAGACGATATGCCAGCACCAGAGCTGAGTACTATATATTTCTCGGCAGATCCGGAAGCAGCACTCTTGACGACGTCTGATCGCCGTACACATGGTTGGACAAAAATCCACTCTGAATAAACCCATCAAATGATCCGAACAACCAAAAGGGTTGGTGTATGAGCACAGTGCTTCTGTTCAAATGGGCGAAATGCTCGACCGTCTATCAGTCTGGTGGTAAGATTACTGTCTTACATGAGAAACTGTCAGATATGACATTTAATACATCTTCATACAAATGGTACTCTCTATCCGCCGTCAACCGAACAATTGTTTGTGTTCATCGTAGTGTCGAATGTTTCGTGTGATTGACAGTTGGTATGAAATGTGTTCATGAGGATCTACGATCGTCCGAGACTGGTACTGAAACAACGATGTCACTTGATGGTTAAACTAAAGGTAACAACTGGGCGTTGCGATTAGACGGTGACTCTTGATCTATTAAATCTTGATTTATTGTCCATTTACCGCTCGTTCAGATTACAATTCCGATGACTTGAACATTTCCGACAGCAGTTTCTCCTCTGTGCAATATTACATGTTCCAGGTGAAGTTATGTGTACGCGTTCCAATCAAACCTAACGCAGAGTTCTGTCTTCTACTAGTCCATCTTTGCTATACAGACTAACCCGTAACCTGATAAAGCAAGTGTGCAGTCAGGATATATTCTTTTGTAATTGTTGATCTGCTAACGATCGTCCGATGATCATTCACGTCAAATCTATTGATGAGTAGATTGCAGCAAGATCGACTGTCCTGACAACTTTACTTCTTGGTCATCCATTTTGCTAACATTTTCTCGTTTCAGGGTTTAGTTCAACCAGACGCGATATTGTTGGTGTCTTTAACTTAACGTTTGTTACTAAACACTTCTGAAGGCAATAACCGCTTCCCACGCCTCCGTCGATTGACTTGAGAGTATCTGTGAGTGAACACCTGGCTTATTCCCTCTTTTATTCAGCAAATACTTCGCAGTAATGCAGAGTATTGTTGTGGTGATTTAAAAAGAACGCCACTTCATCTTGGTTCTAATCCTATATGAATCCATCTCTTTTCGCTTTTACTAGAAGAAGTTCATCATCATCCAGTTCCAGTACAACTTCCAAAGAGTCCAACCAGTCCAAAAAATTTGGCCGTCGTTCGCAAAAAGCATACTCAACTGATAGCCTATCCAGCTCCACTCTTTCAATGCGCTCGCCCACGTCTGGTCCAAAGCGGACTATGCGAATTCCACCATATCACTACGATGAACACACGTCGGAAAAAGAGATACTTCAAGCAGCATGTAAGTCTGAACAAATTGAGGTGCATTCTCTGTTCCACTTCTCCGGGGTTTGATGTGATTTAAAGGTTAGTGATTTCAGTTGTTACGTTGTGTACTGTAGACTCGGATTACTGCAGCTGCGCTCCATGTCATATTTCAGATTTTCAAGGCGCAACTTTATCACACCAAGTTGCATCAGCTGCGTGTAATCCAGTTTTAGCAGGTGCCACCGAAAATTGGGGAAACCAAAGAGCACGCCTTGCATGCCTACTTTCACCGCAAATTTATCTGATGGGACTCCTTCTCTGTTAACCATCCCTTGTTTTACGGCATTCAAGTTCGTGTTTAAATTATAGCCGTGTCTACTTTCTTTGCAGTCAACAGCAGCGCCTCAGATTTATGCGTAAAACAACAGTCTTTACATAAAAATATCGAAAGCATTAGAAATTTTTGACCTAGGTAAATTCAGGTTAACGCAGTCTAAGATCAGCATCGTTAAGGGCAGAATATTAACCTGCGTTAGCGTTTTGTACCCTTGTGAATTCAACTAAACAGAGACGGCCCTAGTTACATGGGATGAAAATAAAGAGCAATGTGAGACGCGATGCGTAGCTTTAACACATAGAACAATCTTATTGTACCATAAGCTTACAGATGGCAAACTATGTTATGTCACAGTTGCATACCAATGCACAGGGATATAGTGGCGTAGGTGACATTGCTACTTTGTTACTTTCCAAACCTGGCTTTGCAGTTAGCTCATATATGTAAGCAACAGGTGCATTTAACAAACTGAATGCGTTTCCAAACCAGGTTAAGAACCTAATCGATGGGACAATTACGAATAGTTTACCTTTAATTTTCTAAGCTGCTCGCGCCTATGCTGACTTGAGGTGATCTAAATGTTGGCAAGTTCAGTTGTATAAACCTCAGAAAGTATAGATTGGTACATAATTTAAGACAAAATGGAGGGGGCTTACTCGCCAGTTTATGCGATCGTACTTTCTTCATATACAAAAGCAATTGCGGTACTTACCCATCATTCTTTCCCTCTCCCGAAACTGAAGCTTTTGTTTCTTCAAAGAATCGCTTGAGACTGGGGGACACTACTCAGATACTAGTCGCAACTGATGGCATGTAATCGGCTTGTCAAGCACGAAAGCCCGGAGAACAGTAACAGCGGCTGAATCCAACGTATAAATCTAAGAGCTACAAGTAATGAAGAGCAGATAGACAAGAGCAGAAAACATGGTAGTAGTCCAAAATTCACCAAAGAAACTCAAGTGAATGGGTTTAAATCCAGTCAGACAACTGGAGGGGTACAAAGTACAAGCATCAAGGAAACCAAGTGTCGTGGAACACCGTTAGTGTCGACTGCCAGTTAAAAAGCACCATTGTCTATTCTATCTTGTTAGCTTGATTAAAGCATTTCCGGTTATGGGCTAGCCAAGCTATTTAGGTGCGCAGACGGAGCTTCTGACTACTATATTGCCTTGAGCTTATCCACTAGCTATATTTAAGCAGAATGATTTCACGCCTTCTCTTACTGTTACTTGTGTAAGATACTGCTCCCACATTTTACTTTTATCAACATGCTTTGTTTAGGTGGATATTAGCTGTTCCCGGTCCGATAACACTGCACTTCGGGCAGGTACAACCGATTATCCATCTGCTTCGGCTACGGTCCCTGTGCTAGAGTTGAGCGAAATTCATCCCACTGCGAATCGCGGTCCACATTGTGATAACGCTTCGCAATCCGGTCCCATGAGTGCTTGGAAATGACGACTCTACGCATGCTTTATTTAGTAGTATGCGTAAGTGAATTACTTAAGGGTCACTACCACGAATCTACTCCAAAGATCCCCAGTGTTGCCACAAAAAGATCACTGGAAATGAGTTCGTTTTTAGTTTTCTTGGCTCTAACAGCTCGTGTTTGAAACCGTACTGTCATTTGCTAAACTTCGCTGTGTTAGTCCTTCGCATGCACGGGCGGCCAACCTTGATAAATGGGGACATCAGCGGCTGTTTATCGAAAAGTACATCCTCTGGGCTTGCATTCACGTCGATATTGCTGTCATTACCCTGAAGTTTGTAAGTCAAATCCATGGTTATAACGGATACGTACAGACCATGTTAGCAACTTCTGCATATATATATATATATATATATATATATATATATATATATATATATATATATATATGGTTGGCGGCATCCGGTTTCGGATTTGCTTGTCACTGTGGCCAGCCACAGGACGCCTGCGCCTACAGAGGGACCATGGGTGGCTTGCACTGCACCACCCACAGCTCCAACCGCACACCCTATATCCAGTGTAAACCCGAAGGAATAAGACCGGAAGGTATGTGGATGGGAGCCACGTTTCATCAACGGAGCCGGCCCACACTCCTTCACAGTCAAACACAAGCACGCTTTAGTTGGGAAGCAATCAGAGTGGTTCCATGCACTCAGTGTGGAACGTACTACGGTCCAACCACCGCCTTGTGTGCGATTGATATATATATATATATATATATATATATATATATATATATATATAATTCATCCTCCCCTTCAAGCACGTAAGTTGCGCTTGACGCTCGTGCTGCAGGGCTATTTGGAATCATCCTCTATATTGTCTCTATCTTCTCGCAGCGTAGCCACCGTACGCTCATTCAAACCGGATTTACCAGCTCTACAGTGTGATCCGTCATACGTGGAATTGTCTTTTACCACTGAAGTCCTATCCAACGCTAACTGATTTGACTGTCATCCGTGATTGAACACAAGCGGATAACTCATTCACCCATTGCCCACTGCCTTTCTGTATAACACCATTCGGTGCATGATTCTCGAGGCAGTCCAAAAAACCTACGCTTATTTCAATCAGATGTTTCTCGATGCATCTCTGAAGGAATTTGTGATCTGTCAATCTGTGTTCAGCTTTGTGTTTAGATTCATTTACTAGGTCCCAAACCAGCCTGGTCTAACATGGATCCATCAAACGACCAACATTGCAACCTGCTTAGATGGGATCACCGCTTACAGCGAGCGCTCCAAGCTGACTCAAGCTTATGGTTGACTCTGGAAGCTGCATTAACTGATCATCCGACAAACGCATAACCTTAAAACTGCACTCCCTCGGCGAACGTGCCTCACGTTAACAGCTAGTGTGAGTTGTGTGTTAAAGTGGTGAAGAGTTGTTAAGTTTGCAGCAGTTGCTTAAAAACCTATCACACAAAATGCCTTGGGACGGAGTCGATAAAAACAAGACGGTACAATAACACGACAGAGACTTTTTGGTTCTGCCCAGTATGCAGTGCTATCCCAGTTGTTAGCTGCCTACTTGTGCTACTGAAGCAGTGTGAAAGACTCACAGAAACAGTCGAGCAATTGTGTGCACCAGGGTTACACCTATGAGAGGAGATGCACTTGCAATTGGATGTGCAAATAACACCCCGAATTCCCCATTCAGGTCGAAGAAGTGAGTCAAGCATCCCAACATTACTCCGATGCATCAGTCACGACCAGTAGCAACTCCCTTTTCTCTCTCTCATAAGTAAAACTTTGTCTACAGCGTACCTACTTCAACTTCTGTACAATGTGTTACACCTAGTAGTTTGTTCACCATACAAGAGACCCTAAGCTGCAGTCAACCAGCCATAGTGAGGAACCAGGTAACATACGCATTGGTTGCCGCCAAGCAAACACCAGAAACAGCACCGGTAACCTTGGTGGCCGGACTAGAGCAAACTAAAGTGTCGCAGCACGGATGGCCCACACCAGTGTCGTTCACAATTTCACCAAAAATACCGGAAACTAAGGCTCCAAAACCAGCAGCCACCAGGCGCAACCATGGTGCCCTAAACTTTGTGTGCACTAATGTCCCCGAATCCAAATCCAATGCAATTATGGGTAGGCTGACAGACGATCGAAATCAATGGAGTTCCATCTGTACGGCAATCGGTGTCCATACTGATGCTACGACAGTAAAACGCATCTCGTGTCACCTAAACGCTTTGCACTACGGTGAGCCCCGGTTACTTCGGGTAACAGTTCACTCGGAGGATGAGACAGAGGCCGTTCTTCTGTCTGCGAATCGACTCCGCGACCCCTCAAGTGGAGTGCGCATACTACCTGACATCTCTGGAAAGAAGGTGTAGCGGATCCAACTAACAGAGAGAGGATCAGAAAAAGTAAAGACAAGGAAACTGTGATTGCCCACGGTGTTCCTGAGCTTAGTGATTCCTTTTTCCGACGATGCGCAGGTACACGACCGGGAGAAATGGCACTACATCCGGGAGGCTCTTTCTCTCGAAAATGTCATGGCCACCTCGTTGACAAGGATCCCTTTATCGCCGAACTATAAGGGGTGCGGTCCCAGTCTGTTGAAACTGGTGTTGCAATCGGAACTAACTGCAAAAACTCTTCTACAGAACTGGACTAAATTCCGTGGCAGGTTGCTAACAGAAATTCGTCTGAAAGCATCGGAATCACCACCACCTTCTAATGACAACTCAGTGAAGGCGCAACGCTCAATGAAAACACCAACTGTAGGACCTGACTCGGTGACGGTTTCGGCCGTAGCTTTAACCTCCGGAGGGACACAGCACGGCGCGAACGAACACCGAGAACCGGGACATCTGATACTTGAATATATAACAAATAGATCTCGAGAGTCTGCAGCCCATCCGAAAAACGATTAGCCGCCGACCTTACATCGATCGGCGTAAATTCTCTTTCTTCATCCATTCCACCCAACACGCTTTTGGTCTCCGAGCAGCTCTCATACATTTACACAAATGCCCAAAATCTACTCAGCACATTAGCTGACTTCGACACGCGTCAGCAGCTTGGGACCTCATCGCCATCACGGAAACATTGTTGCGCTGTGAGATAACGGATGCCGAAATCACAGTAACAAGTATGTCCTTTGTTCGGAATGATCGTGCCCACACAGGTGGTGGGGTAGCCCTTTATTTTCGTAACAACCTGCAGCTCGAACCCATGCACGATTCGGAAATCGATGTACCTGACTCCATTTGGTGCATTTTCCGGCTGAAAGGGAACGATCTAGGCCTAGTGGTTGTTGTTTGCCAATCACCATTTTCTACACCTGAGATGAATTGCAACTTATTGGCTGCATTGAGGCAGGTGATAACCAGGAAGTAAAGTCATGTTCTAGTCGCCGGCGATTTCAACTTACATGCTCTAGAATCCCAGGCCACACCAGGAGAGAAATTCAAAGCAGACCAGTAAGATCTAATCACAGATTTTCCACTTTATGGACAAGTCACTTCCCCCACCCGATTCAGCGGAAAGAACGGGCCATCCATATTGGACCGAATATTCACTAATGAAGAACTGATTATCAGGTGGGTTATACTTGATACTCCCCTAGGCCGCAATGATCATGCGACTTTGCATTTCATGTACTCCTGTTATGCAGAATACTCCGAGGACCGAACTCAAAGAATGCGAGCCGTAACCAGTTACGACCTCTTAATCCGACTCGTTGTTGCGACCGACTGGAGTTTCCATACCGAGGATGCACCCGATATTGTCTGGGAACGTCTCGTCACTAAGTTTAACACCCTGATTTGTGGAGTATCGGTAACCAAGACCATCAGTTCGAGTAACATGACGTCGGTTATACGGATCAGGAAACCCAAACGCATGATGATGCGCACTGTGGCGTTGTATACCCACAAAGCCGATCCGAGTCCGAGTACCTAAAAGACGTGTGTTGTCCACCCTAACCACTGTACCCAAGTAGTGCGCGAGGACAAAGTAGCTTCTCAACATGCTTTAGCCAAGCGATTAACCGCAAATCCTAAGTTTCCGTACAAGCAAGTGCATAGCAAGGTGAAAAGTGAATTTACCTCACTTCAAACAGCAGATGGTCTAACTAGGACTGCTAAAGAAGGGTCGTATGTTTTGCCATAATAATATTCAACGACTTTTCATTGCATCCCGTGGTCTCCTGAGTCTTTGGAATCTATGGCGCCCACACCAGCATCCACTCATATAGACTTTACGGCAAACATCGTGATGAGAAAGTTGCTATCGATACGCGTGCACGCTTGTCCAGGAATTGGCGACATCCGCCTAAAGACGCTGAACCTTTGGCGCGGCTGTTCCAGCACTGCCTTGACAAGCAGCACGTTCCTGCAATGTAAAAACACGTCATACTAACTCCCATTTATAAAGGGCGTAGTCGTTCCGACCCAGCTAGTTATCGACCAGTGAGTCTACTGCCAGTTCTTCCAAAAGTTATGGAGGCTATCATTGCCGACGCACTCATGTCTTGTCTGGACGGTTTTGATTACATTGCTCAGAAGCAACACGGTTTGCGCCCGATTCTGTCGTGTAAAACCAATCTGTGGTTAGCACGAGAGAGCTGGACCGAAACTGTGAACACTGGTGCAGGAGTTGATGTGACTTACCTTGATTTCTCTAAGGCATTCGACTGGTTGGACCATCGTATCCTTCTCGCCAAACTTCAAGGATGTGACACTAAAGACCCTCTCCTCTGGTGGATCTGCAATTTTCTCTCGCACAGGCGTCTGGAGGTCAGAGTACGTAAATCCATGTCAGACCTAATTCACGTCGAATGCGGAGTGCCAATGGGTTCGGTATTAAGGCCCCGCCTATTCTTGGTCTTCGTAAACGACCCAGTGAATCAAATTTCGTCAAACTATTTACTCTACGCCGATAACATCAAAGTTTTGCGATTGCTCAGGATTCCAGAAGACCGTATCCAGTTTCAAAGCGACCTTGAGAGAAATTATGATTAATCGGTCCAAAGTCGCCTTTTCTTCAATGTGGCTAAATGTCGAGTGCTCCATTTAAGTCCCCGGGTGGTTCATACATATAAGCTGGTGGACAAGGATCTGCAACACTGTTCTCCCGAAAAGGATCTCAGTGTGTTGGTCCAAGAAGATCTCGGCTGCTCGGAGCAAGCCAAAAAGGCATCGAAGAAGAGGATCCAAATTGTGGAGCTTTTACCGAGAGCTTTTGGGCAATTCGAGCCGTCAATTTCCCGCCACATATTTCCCGCTTATATACACCCACATGTTGAATATACAATTCAAGCATGGCATCCATAGCTAAAACGGGATCTCACGGTCTTGGAGCTTCTACAACATCGAGCGACAAAAATGTCAAGGGGCTGCGCCACTTGTTATACGAACTGCGCCTCAGAGTGCTTGGCATTTTCAATGGACGTTTTCGCCGTTCGCGTGGTGACCTAATCATGGTTTACCAAATATTAAACACTACTAATAACCGTTCCATCACCTGTTGAAGCTGAGTCACAACAGCCACATTGTTTGGTCATCATCTCAAATCGGCAGGACAATACAATCGGTTGGCGTGTCGAAGCAATTTCTTTTGACTGCGTGTTTGCCACACTTGAAATACCCTCTCAGAAGCTGTTATTTCAGCCCCCACGTTAGTCGTGTTCAAAGCACGTGTCGACAGTGCACTGGCCACACGACACCATATCATGTAATCCAAACGACCCATACATATAGCATAAAAACAAAAACAAGCCAACCCACCTCCATTTTTGCCCGGAAACCACAGACAAAATCCTTGGATAGTAGATAAAACGGACAGGAACGTTGTACTCGGCAAGTTTGCAACTTGCGGTTGTTCACTAGTTCCTATTGCCATTTTTGCCTTTATTTTGCTCACCCTTAACCGATCATCTGGCGGGACATGTCAAGCTTCGGCTTTTTTTATCTGCAACATGCCACTGACCATTGACCATTGACGTTCCTACAGGATAAACCACTTGAGAGCCACGCTCCATTACGATTTGTTGATTACAATGTAGCATTAGCGACCTATTTCGCAATACCTTGATGTTTTTCCTTTTATCGGTGGCTGAATGAGGAGAATCGTAGTTTCCGCTGTTTTAACTCATCTTGTGCTGTTTTTGGGTAAAGTATTTTCTCCAGGTAAAATTTTCAATCATATTGTATTTACTGCCAATTGGCACGTCTAAAAAGCGAACGTAAAACCATCATAAACGGTGGGGCACATAATCTCCCAACAGATTGGTCACTCTATAGATGCTATAAACACTTTTTGAATTAATGCAGAAAATGTTGGATGTGAATCCATTAGGTGCCACGATCATTGTGAACTCAGCCTATATATAGATCTTATAAGTTAACACATAAGTGTGGATGTGTGGAATTACATGCACCTAATGTAACATGCACATTCATTTCAGTGGATGCGTGTCCTATTGCTTCAGAGCAAAATTATCGATACTCACGCTCAGTTTCGCGTCATTCCAAACAACAGGAGCCTGCCATACCAACAAGGCAAAATAGTAAGTCGGAACATACAACGACCCCTAAGGATACCATACAGAGGAGAAAGAAACATCAAAAGCGCAAAAAGCGAAGGCGCGATAGACACTCTAGTTCATATCGAGGCAAACGTTCTTCAGCTTCTCCTTGTCCCGAACTTTTTGATCATAAGAAGACACCGGAACAAAATTACTCTCCCCCAACAAATGTAACAGAGATCCAGGATGAAGATGTGCACGCGATGCTGGAGGTTGAGGAGCTGTCACTTGAGTAAGCAAAGGAAAAGTATGCGTTGAGTTTGTTGTACTGTTTTGTTTGTCAACTAAGTGTTGTGGTTACACTCGTCATGGTTGCTTTGAGGTCGTGTGACGTGTCCCCGGTCATTGGGTCTGGGGAGCAACTCCACAACATTTAATATGAAGTATAATAATGCTTCCAATACCTTGGAATATGTTTGGGACCAACGTGCTACCCATCAGTTCAGAAAACTTGGTGCATGACCGGGTAATGAGTGGGTTGTGCACACGACGTTCGGCTTTTGACACAAATGCTTTGCCTGAAGATGTCTTTGTGTCACACTCGAAACACCATGCACCCAACACATGCACTAACCGGTCGTTTACCAAGCCTTCTGAAATAACTATGCTTCGATAGAAAAGCCACTGAACCCATTTCGATGTTTTATGTCACGATCCGATGTTAGCTTCATGACAGTCGCGGTTAAGACGTGCTCACTATGCTCACTACGTCTCCGCGTTTGTCGGGTGAGGATTTGCACCGACTGTCATGTTTTTGAGTTCTTGCAATATGTTTCCAGATAGCCAACCGTATGGAGAAGCACACAGTACCGACTTTTCAGCTCTGTCCGAAAGTATCCCCACGAGTACAATAATACTAATCGGAGTGTACTGAAGCGAGGGCGAGTTTAATAGTTTCTACGATTAAAATTCCAGTACTAAATTCTTCTCTAGCGCTACCCTATCATATTTGGACAAATAGTTACCACTATTTTCAGACAGATACTGAGTGCGAATGTTCACTCGCATGTCGAATAAGCAATCCAAGCCTGGAGGCCATGGCTGAAGCAGGACGTTACTGCACTGGACCAACCTCAACGTAGGGCTTCTAAATATGTCCCTGGAATGCGCCATCTTCCGTACGAGCAGAGGCTGAAACGTTTGGGTGTATTCAGCGGGCGGTGGCACCGACTAAGAGGCCACTTGCTTACGAGGTATTTGATTTTATACAATCCCAATCATGTTTGCCGCTTTTTACTGCAACTCAGCGGAAACACCAGAATTAGAGGCCACTCATTAAGATTAGGAGAACGATGCAGCCGCCTAACGTGCCGTAGAAACTTCTTTTCCATTCGTGTATGGAACGCTGTCTTCGAATGTGTTGTTGCAGCACCTACGCTAACCATATTTAAAAGTCGGTTGGACGACACATTCCGCCACTCACCTTTTGTTACTTGACGCTACCTTCCATGCTACTCCCAGGAAATACCTTGGATTTATTTTGTCGTCTATGGAAGCTATGGAAATAGTCGGCGTACACGGCTAGTGCATTAGAAACGATACATCTAGTCTTTTGCCAGTAAAAATACTAGCTACATTTTTTCATTAGTAGTTTTTGACAACCCACCAGAATCCCCAACGGGATATGTAAAGCAGTGCTTCTTAACCCGTATCAAATCATAGTTAATAGTTTTTCATGGATCCATGTCCCCTTCTGTCGTCAATACTGTCCGCAGAATCTAGCATTAATCGAGTAACTGAAATTGGCTAACGCTGGGTGACCACCTGATGCTTTGTAACCGGATAACTGACGACTGCTGGTTCTCAGCTACTAAACTGCTTACTTACCTGAAATCATAGTCTAAGCAAATTCCGTAATCATTTTCGAGCTAGTTCAAACCGGTATGAACCGCCTGATAATACTTTTATTCGCGTCCATACTACAGTCGTATTAGAAGCAAGTCATCCGTGCTGTTAGTTGAATCGTACTTTAGACACGGTAACCGTGGCTTTTGATGGGCCATGCAAACATCTGGCCTCACTAGTACACCACTGTGCCTTGTGCTCCTAACAGCGACTGCCAGTGAATGCATCTTCTTGCGTTTTGTAGGAGGTAACTGCTATCACTACGGTTGCGACCTAATATACCATGCTAAACGTTTAGTGTGTGTGTGTGTGTATGCTTTTAACACCATTGATGTGCATTATATCATCTCTTTTAAAACAAGTCTACTACATCAAGAAATCCGATGATATTAAATTCTGCTTGCTCATAAAACTGAACTTTTAATTTCTAATGAATACATTCAGCCACTTATGTGATCACATTACTGTGATTTTGTCCACTCCTTCTACTACACCTTACACTCCTTTCAATGCTGCTGATTTTTGAACGAATTCCAACATTGCTCAAAGGGACATGCAGTGTAGTTATTGTGCTTTGATACAGCTGGTTAATTGGCCAAAGCGGTAATTGGAAGCACAAATACTGGGATGGTGACCGGGTTTCACCGGAACTGTGGTCTATCATACCAAAAAATTGTTGTTCTTACGTCGCCAGAGCGCTTTCGACTCTCCCAACAACTGTTTTCCGTGAAGCAATTTTGCATGAAGAGAACACAAGAAGACTCCTTTTATTTCTGGAAAGCCACCACAAAGATCAAAAGCAGTGATATTCATCAGTGACCCATAGCTCCTCTCTTCCTTTTGATCCTTCCTGAAAATTATTTTTAACGTTTGACTGCCTTGTGAAATTGCAGATGCGACGCTTTTCTGCCGTTATAAGAACCCAAGCTTGCCCAATTCATAGTTCTCTTCGTAGTGTCCGAATCATTGTGGCTAACCGAGGAAGAGATATCGGCATCGCTTTTGAATACACGGTCACTTAATTAGGTTGCCTTTGGGTGTCATGCGTCCGCTTCGGAGTTTGCACTTGCAGTGCCATAAAGGGTATTCCATTTTCAACTGTACATGGATCATGATCTCAACGTACCGTCAGAGAATTCCGCAGCGAAAATTTCCATCATATCACACAGTGGACGACGAACTATCCTGAAACCCAGCCGATTACATCACCAACTACGGCGGATGCACAACAGTCCAGGATTTTCTGCTATCTAGACAACTTAAATCGATTCTGACCGCATTCTCATGAGTTTCCACAATCCTGTTCCATCGTGAGGGAAATGCACAGTACCTAAGTTATTCATCCGTTACTCTATTAATTAGCACTAGTTAGCTCAATTGTAACATCAGCCTTCACTGACAAAGTGAAGGCCGCTTGAGGCCGAGCGCGCTGATCCATGCGAACCACATGGGATCACTTATCCTCTCAACTTGAAGCTTCCTAGTAGTTGTTTGCTTCCTAAGATTTAAATTACCTTAACTGAGGCACCCAAAGTAATTCCGTGGCTTAAACACCATGAAAAGCCTCAATCTAACGTGTTCTTGATTAACCAGGAGTGCTTCTCAATTCTGATTGCTCGAGTGACAGGGAAAAGTAACGTCATTTACAGCAGGTAACTGTAGTTCAGACGTATCTGACACCTAAGTGCATGGAAGCTCCTGTGAGTGCACAGTAACCGAAGTGACGAACATCTAACTCATTGAGTTGCACCTTACCAAAAGCGATTCAGCCGGGTAATTTATGACACTATTGCTGCACTGGATTATCCGCGCACACCTGCAACGTTAAAGACAACGTCCAGCACCGATGCAACCTAATACTATTTTGGCTTGCTTTGGGAAATAGGGTACATGAACGCGACGACTCTACTTCATCGTTGCCGAAAATCCCGCAAGTCACTGACTGACAATACCAAAGGTAAACAGAATTCAGACTAGCTGGCTAGACGTTTTTCCTGACGGGAAGTCGCCGGATGAAACTCATTGGTAGGTGGTTTATGGCTTTGTTCGGTCTGATTCGCTACAAAAATGATGCACCTTCTAGTTGGTGGTCTTCGGCTGTCATTTGCACTCTAGAAAACGATCAAAAAACGTCCACTTACGTTTATCCATGCTGTGGTCTGTCTGGTACCACACTATCCGCACCCATCCGATTAGGACGACTAAGCGGTCCTCTTGAGAGTCAATACCTAATAGCAAACTGATTTATATCCGGATGGAGGACGTATTTCCATAAGTGTTCGAACAACTGCACACAGGCATGAAATACATTTGCATAGGCATTATTAGTTTGATGACCGCCCAGAAAACAGTAGAGTACGCTTGCTTGTGTCATAGCTACCCTGCGCATTGCTTACCTGCAAAGTCTCTTTCTGGTTTAAGACCTACGTAATAATTCTCAGGCCCGTGTGCAGTGGTCTGCGGAACGTGCTCCTGCCATTGTCACTTCAGTCGGGTATGAAAACGTATCCCACTACTACGTTTCACGCTAACTATAGAATCGTAGTTACCATGGGTGATAATGTCCTGGATTGTTCCAGTTTTTACCCAGTAGTGATATTGATGGATGCTCGACTATTGAAGTTCAAAGTAAACAGACGATCCCATCACTTTATGTCAGCTCCTGGCCCCTCTGCACTTCTTGCTCAACGGCCTGATGCCAAACTGGCTACAATTAGAAGCAAACCCTCCAGTTACCTTGATCTAAATACTGTAATCACTACGTTCACATGGGAGCAATCCGTCGATGAGCTATTCCAAAAGCGGCCCATAAGCATCTATACACAATGTTTTCAAGACTACGCTTTGGCCTCAACCACCCACTAAGACGATACTACCTGAAGCGCACACCCCAAATTCCACCCATGCATGTCACCCATGCGAGAGCATGGAGGCTTCTGTACAAATTGATCTGTGCTGCTACAGACAGTTTCTCGCATCAGGAGAAGTATGCGCGTTATTATTATAATAACACGTGCTTAAAGTGTAAATTGCCACTACAGAACTGGCCGACTTATCGACACCAATCAGATACTCGACGTGGTCCATCCGTTTTTTCTCCAAACATCTGTATGTCTACTCACACTCTCGAACAGGTGGCTGTATCCATAGGCAAAGCTCTTTTGGCTTCTCAGAGCCTGCCACCTTTACAGACAGTGGGATTTAAACTTATTGAGTAAGAACAGAACGCGTCACACTGCGATATTTCTGTTCGTAACCGAGGTGTTGATTGTTCGGTACGGTCGTTAAGGCACTAATCATGCTGGGGCACTCACAGTTGCTAAACGCTCGCAACTCTGATGTTACCACCGAATAATTAAGCCAGTTTGTGTGTAAAATCGGACTTCA